TTTTTACTGTTTACCAGATGGTAGGCTGTATTTTGTTCGGAGAAAATTGTACATTTTTATCTCTTTTCAATTTCAATTTGTATTTTATTGGCATAATGAACTTATTGAACTTAACAAATTTTTTGTACGAAAAAAACGCTTTTTTATTCCGATTTAATCAAAATTCCAAGAGTATTATTGAATAAGGAATCTCCTGGAAAAAAAGCTGCAGGGATCGCGGGTAGTATAATATATAAGATACTCGAATTTATAGAGGAGGCGATTGAGAACAGAACAGGCGGTTCTTATTACACCTCATATTATATTGAGTATTAACCTTATGCAGTCGGACGTCTTGACGTATTTTTTTCACTCCAATCGTTCATTCGGTATAATATTACGGGGACATTCTTTTTAAATAAAATGCCACGTTCCGCATCAACAACACCCGACAATAAAATATTATTTTCAGGTAGTTTTTTCAGCGACTGTATTAATATTTCCCTCTATATGTCTGTGGTTTAATCAGGGCGGTCCTGTACCTACACGTCCCGTCGGATTGTTTGTTTTCCAACCACCACCCGTCTAAATAATTGTTAAGAGATGCCGACGATAATAAAATGAACAGGCAATAACAACGAATACCGAATGGAAATCATCGACGCGGTGAGTGTATTTTACGACCGTATACAGTGCGTCTCCAGCTGGTGAAGGTAAAGGGTATGAAGACATATCGGTGAATACCTATGCGTATAATATACAGACTTAATGAAGAAACTAGATCGGTGTTCAGACATAAGTTGTATGATGTGATTAAATGAGCTTAATTAATCATGTTATAGTTAGTTAAAATTAATTTCAATTCAAGAAGGAAAGTAGTACATAATATTATAATGTTTTAAATTATAAAACTATTATTTGAAGGTACTTATACTTATAAAATATATTAATATTCATAGTCCAAATTTCAATTGCAAAATAAAACATAATAACAAGCTATTAAATTATATTGGGCTGATTAAATTCTTAATTATTAACGAAAAACATATTATTATTATGTATTACATTTTAAATTATCAAATATAAATTGGTTTAATAGATTAATAACATGGTTAAAATATCCTTCTCAATGTAACTTGCTTTATACTTTAATTTTTCATTTATAAAAGATTATATATATTTATTGATGTTTTTATTGATTTATAATGCTGATATATTTTTAACAAGAGTTGATTGAAAAAATGGCCATAATTGGTATATTCTTAATCAATTCACGTTATCTAAGATTAATAGAACAAGCAATTTATTTCGATACTAAACCACCTTTCTAAAATTAAATCTGATTACTAAATTGATACTACGATGTGTATTTATTTTAATATCCATATTAAAAAAAAATAGTAATAATAATAATACATAGATAGACCGCGTTAAACTTTTCTACTCAAACTAGATATCATCACAATAAAATATTTATAAAAATGAAAGTTTATAATATACGAAAATACAAGCATAATATAATAGAATAAATGTTTGCGAATTAATTAAGCTAAGTTTTGAGAGACAATAAACCATAATATTATATACTAGTAGTCTACGTTTATAATATATATATATTTAATGGTCATTATGTACATTGTACTAAATCCATTTAGTTAACTTTATCGCATTATTCGTTACAAATAATAACTATATAATATATTGGTATAGTATTCGTCGATTAATAATAGACACATTATTTAGTTTTAAAATAAGAATTCATAAACTTTGCTGCATTCGTATCCTAATAATTTCAACTCTTAAATTTTATCAGCTGCAGTCTGGCGCCTTACCGCTGGCAAGTGATACGAACACGAACGTATTATATTTGTTCGTGACCCATCGACTCTGCTACCACTTTGTCATGCCAAATAGTACAAAGAGCGCTTTTTTTCTTTGTATTGTCCAAACCTCAACAATGGGTACCCTTCAATCGATTGGTCGCGAAAAAAAATATTCTTTTGTTTCCAATTCGATTCACATATCATAATTTATGTAATAATTTGCCCGCCAAGCCAACGAGAGCGATTATTTCATATCGGTAATGCCAATGGGCTTTTTATTCGTACTGTGGGAATATCGAGGTCATAAGTGATCAGCCGTTCGAATTAATTCTGGTGTTCAGAAACGTTAAATTTGATTTGGACAAAAAGCTCCCAAATGCTTTTTATATTCTCTTTTTTTATTCAAATCGTAAAAAAAATCGTTGTGCCTGTTTGTGGCGCCAATCCCTTTAAGCCCAAATGTCCATTATTTCTAACCCTCTTCCAATAGCCGCGACAAAAACAGAACTCTCATAATATATATAACTATGTACCGTAAAAAAAAGGCTTAACTTATATTTAAATTACGAGTGTTGTACGCGTCCACTTAAAATTCTCTCACGCGTTATGTAGTTATTGCTTTTTTTCTTCGAATATCGATTACGGCATGACTATTCATAAATTTAATCGATGAAGTGGGGTACGAAAAATTAATTACATTGTATTTTCGAATAAGAAATATTTCGTTAACAGACTCTGCAGGACCACCGCCTTTTGAAAATTAATTATTATTGTAGACGATTGTAGACAACGTTTACACCGAAAGCAGAACTCGACGATATGCGTTACCACAACCGCTCATATCATCTATAATAAGTGACATTGATCACTTATACCATTAATATAATATTATTACTATCCATAGCTCTCTGTTGTGTATAATATAGTGGAATATTAACTTTACGAGTAACGTTTTCCCGTGACTATAATACCATTTAATTTATCTAATCTATATGTTATTCGTATAAATAGGAAATCGTATTTTGTTTTATATGGTCGGGATGGAAACACTTTAGTAACATTACTAAATACGAAAAAAAAACAGGTCCGTTTGGTAATGAATCGAGGTATTAAAATGCATTAGTCTTGAAGGTAATTCATATGAAATATATAAAATTTAAGTATAATAGATATTACTAAACACGCTCTCTGATATTATTATTTATGTAAAAAAATATATATTTTCTCTAATTTTTTTTTTCCCGAATAGCATTAGTTGACTCAAATAGGTATAGTCCGTATTATTACTTATAACCCACGTCAATATTCACCTTCTCGTATCTTGTTATATTATACTTAGCGTCCCTGTTTGGCATATTATATCATAATTTATTTAGGTACCTATACGCTGATATGGTCACTGGAATAGTTGTAAATTATTATTTGCTCATGAGTATATACTGTATAGACACCACACATATCATTACAACTTTAATTATACTCATGACGCCAATACTGGGAATGACTATTAACGGCGATTAACGAAACATGTGAAGAAAAAAATTGTGATGTCTGAAAATATAATAGAGTCCCTCCCACGATTGTAGACGAATTTCCATAGTATTTTGTGTTGATAAAGTGGACATATTATAATACGATAAACGTTGAATCGAGTTTATTTTACTTTATTCACTTGAGTATATTATAAATCGTGAATATACAAACACATTGCTCTCGACATCGATTTGAAGTACTTTACGTATGCAATAACGCACTACCTATATGTATATTAATATATATTATTATAGTATTGAGTGGGGTTTCATCGCCAGGTATCGATTTATTGAAATCCTATCCCACACATTTAATGTTTCTTATATATTATAATGCACAGTTCGTGCGCAAATATACATTCGGAAGTATTTAAATCTCTTTTGTATAACGCGCTTGGCCATCGACCGGTCATCGACGAGTCTGAAAAGTTTAACCGTGTAGGATTTTTTAACACGCGGCGCCTCGAATAGTTTTAAATATAATATAACTCTATGCATTCTACACTCAGATGAACGGGTATACCTACCTATTGTACGCGTTTGAAAATCGTGTTTTATTAAACAAAAAAAAAAAAAGATATAAAAAAACATTGTTTCACTTGGGTGACCTGACAAAGTTCACCGACAACACGGTATAAAGGTAGATCGAAAGGGCGTCGATACACGGGACACTTGAAAGTACGCGTCTAATTAAAGTCGGCGACACAGTGAAGCTTTCAAACGCCCTCGTGATGCGGAATTAATTGCGATTCGCTTTGCCACGGTTTAAGGGACTATCGAGGGGTTGCTCCGTGTGTACTGGAATATCCAAAGCACGCTACTTTTGTGAATGTCGGGGTGAAACTTAGATTCCAATACATCCGTTGTGGTTACATAAGGTTTTAGAGCGTATATTAGTTTATTTTACAATGCTATAGCTAGGTATATATTAATAAATAACGTCCCTACGTCGTTTGATTAAGACTACCAAAATTAAAATAACTTAAAAAATGTGTTGAATTTACTTGAATTGTTATCACTATAAAATAACATTTGAACAATAATTATTACCCAAGTAGGTACCTAACGTACGTGTATTTTGATTATCTATAAATTAATATCTCTTGATCAAATTTCTGTTGATCAATACCGAAAACATACATTTACACTTAAGCAGTTCAACCGTTCAGTGCAAACATAGTGATGGAATGTCAATAAAATAAACATTATACCTAGGTATAGCTACGTCCTACATGGTGGCAAAATTATTTAATTTACAATTTGTTTCATATTTGCTACCTTTATTGTACATAATAAATTTTATTTTATATTGAGGTAAAAATAGTAATCAATCCTAAAATTTGAAAGCCGATATCGTTTATTACAGGTATCATATGATTTCAAATATTTATTCCATTTAATCAGAGTTTGTAGTTCACATTCAATAGAAAGTCACAATCGCAGTATTCATTTCCAACTGACGAAGATAACGCTCTAAATAATATTGTAATACAAGTATAAACTCGAAATATCTTTTACGTTTATTTATATTAGTTATTTAAAAATATACTCAGTGTTCTGATCGAATAATATAAATGTCCGGTTGAAACGTCTTAGTCCAACTATAAAGAGTAGACATTTGAGAAGCGAGTCAGATTTGAGGGTGTAATATACTGTACTCGATTTCTCAGATCCTTCTACCCCGTAATCTTCTGGGAAACACACTCGAGTCTACTTTTACAAGTGCTTTCGGCTGGTCTCTCACATAATCATCAACACTCCTACTGGCGGGGGTGTCGCGTCTTCGTCCCGAAGCATTGTGCGCTATCATATTAGTAGCACGACCCACCTCACCTCGCCCCAACAACAATGTGCATTCGTTTGCCCTCATTCGTGCTGAGTACGGACTAGGGGAAGTCGTAAAGGAAAACCGTGATTGCTTTCCAATGGTCCCTCGGTGCTCTAGTGCCGAAATAGGATTCGCCAAGTCTATTGTTAAAACAGCAACAAAAGATATCGATTTGTGTAAAAAGTAAAACATTTTTTTTTTTTTTTTTTTCATGCAATTTGAAAACAACTCGAATAAATTTCCAACGATTTTTTTCATCATTTTAATATAATATATTTTACATTTTGATATAACAATATAAATATAAATAACGTACCTACCTACCTCTATATTAAGCACCAGCATATTATTTTTTGTTAATTTTTTTCACAGATTTAATATTGTTAGTTCAACTTTGAAAGCTTTTGAAAGCTTCCAATGAATTATACTGAACAATAATAATAATAAAACAGCGTGTGTAATAATAAAAACAAAATCTTGAAATAAAAATTATTTGTTCCACTTGAATATAAAATATTAAACAAAGTCCGCAGTTCTCAACCCGTGTATGCCCCCACTAGTGCATTTAATGAAATTGAAAATACACATTCCTAGACCGATATATTTCATGTTGCCGTTGAATATTACAATAATAACGGTAATTTATCGTCTGGTTGTCCCATTGTCGAACGGGAGAACAGGCGACTTTCTATACTACACGACCATTTCTGGGACAATAGGGGCTAGTTGTCGTCCAGTTCATAATATTATTATACACAATATTTTCTTCAATCGTCAATAATATGATATTATAGAATACGCTCAACCTATATTATAATAATATTATACATGAGCACTGTTCGATGATTTATCGTCCACCGCGGGACTACTACCCGTCCGTGTTATGAATTCAATTACATTTTTTTTTTTTTTTTTTAAAACATACCCTCCGAATTACTATCTGCGATTCGTTATTATTATCAATTATTAACCGTAGGCCATCGTATTGTGAGCGTCCGTTTAAACACATAAGAGCTGAACATATATAATATTCGGTGAACATGATAATATAATAATATACATTTTTCATACGAACGTCGGTCGTCAGTACCGCAGGTACCTACCCACCTACCTACATAATAATGTATCGGTCGACGTAAATTATAAATCTGTCGGAAAAACTTAAAAAACTTAAAAAAATGACCTGTACATTAATTATAACGGGATGTCCACAGATGCTGGCTTAGTATGTCTACCGACCAGCAGCATTTGGATCCTGCGACATAACTTACACGGTACATTTGGTGATAACAATATTATTCCTGAATCCTGAACAACGTTATAAAATAAACGTAAACTATTTCAAAACGTTAATATTGTTCTCCGTATTTTGTTTTGAAAATGAATACGGATAACAGCATAATATTATTTAATGACGTGTTCAAGTGCATAATATTACAACATTATATAGTTAAACGTTCGAGATACCGAAAGTGTCGAAATCAAAAACCGTGAAAATAAAAAAATGTTCATATAACAATGATGATTGTTAGGTAGGTAGGTACTATAACAGTCGCCTACTTATCATAATATAATATGTAAATTTTTCTTTAGAAGCACTAGATCCAAAATCCCTATCGATTTTTAAAACAGTTATTGTTTCGTCTAAATATGGTAGATACAAAAATATATTATAATAGTAGGATAGTCACTAGAGTAGAACATGCAGTGTGGTACAAATTAAAAAAATATATATTACACGCATTTGCATTATTATTAGTACAATTACACGTGTTACAATTTTTTGTTGTTGTTTTAATTTTCACTATTCATCAAGTAATTAATAACACACAACTCCTACATACGGTGTATACACTCATTTTACAGTCCATTCGAATCGATACTTATAAATATGCGATAGTAGTTTTTAATGAGTTTTAAAATACAAACAATATAATATTATTATAAACTTGTATTGTAGTTTTAAGAATACATAACATTCGCTTAATAAATCATGAGATATTATGAAACAATAATTAGAGTTGGTTCCGTTAACTCGATCAATATTTTAACATTATTAGTTTTTACATAATTAAAATCTGTATATAGGTACCGCTGTATAGCTACTATGATTAATTTAAAAATATTTTAAATGTCCCATTTATTTTATTTAAATATTCTAAAAGGATTATATTTATCACAATATTATTCAGTATGGGATAAAATTAACTATCTTATTTTTTAATCGAATATTTATTTATACGTAATCACGATGGTACAACAAATTATAAAATGTAAAATGCACTTTTTAAGTACCTATAAACTATAAACTTATTTTATAGTCAAAATCTCATATTATTAGTATTGATAGTAGGTGCTTCTATTATAATGTTTAATACGGCGGTTTGATAATTATACCTAAAATAATTATTTATATTACACGTCGTATCAATGTAATATAATATAATATTATACTATCGTGTAGGTTATTAGTAATTTTAATTGTCCGATTTTTTGGATGTAAAAAAATAAACGATTGCTGCGGCAATGATGTAACCGCGATAGTTGCTATTAATTAGTTTGTCAACACCACTTAAAAAAAAAAAAAACAACCAGACGTACCTGAGGACTTAAAAATCACCACCGCGGTATATAATATACAGTCACGAGTCTCGCTAAAAGAGATCCACGACTGTTGACATAAATGAGTAAAAAAAAACGGGGGTAAAAATGTGGCCGATTATCGGAAGCCACACGACCACACACGATCGGAAAAAAAGAAAAAGCGTAAGAAATGCGCGCGTGTATATATTAAATATATATATATATATATATATATATATATATATATACATATTTGTGTGTTTGATTTAATTTCCATTATTATTATACAACTGCCTCCTGCTCAGGAAGACAAGACGGAATAATTACACGGTGGCCGCCCGAAGGACTGCTCGTGTTTTTTCTCCGGCGACTTTGTTCCACTTCATTTAAATCATGCCCGTATTAGCGTGCGTCCCTAATAAACATTTTAGGACCAGTCGGCGAAATAAAAAACAGAAGAAAAGGAGAAGAAAAAAAAATGAAGATAAAACGATTTGGGTGTTCGGACGGGCAGTGGTATATTATATGTTCTAGACATTTTTATTCATTGTAAGATTACAGCCTGATGATTAAAACATAATAATATATAATATCGTATATATTATTACCTATAATATACGTACGCCTTGTGTAGACATCAAATACATCTATTCTATTATTATTATTATGTAACTACACTAATTGTATTCTATTGTAAAATAATAACAACCAATTGTGTTTTTTTTCTGTTTCAGGTGAGTACTGATTTATCGAAAACACCCTATATCATATGAGTGCGCGTACTAATGTAGGTATATACATTTGATGTATATAAGTACTAGGTATACAGGTTTAAGGTTTTCCGGTGAAAACTAAACCGTTTTCCCGATGGAGGCGATATTATATGGGTAGGTAGGTACGTGGAGTATAAATTAATGCACCGTTATAATATAATAACAATAACAGCTTTCCCACCCCCTCCCCTCCTGTTTTCCCGGATGAACTACGTACGTGAAGGAAATTCGTGTTTGAAATTTGAGTGGAACTTAAATTCACTAAAAACGAAATTACGTATGCACCATTAAACGAAATTACGAACGAATACGTTTTTATTACGCGTTTCTCGTACGCCAGTATATTATATTCTTGTTCCAGGAGAGTTTTTTTTATTTTTTTGAGGAACCAAGTTATAAAACACAGAATAAGTTGGTGATTGTATTATATCTCTTGACGAACACATATTATTCGAAAATTACCACTCAATTATTTCTCTCTTAGTACCCAAATGAATCGTCAACAAGATATCTAGATAATTATTATCGCCACGACGTTACGTATATCTACTCATATATAATTTGCATACAATTTAATAATAATTATATGATAATTTTAAAAATTGCGTGTGTATAGCGTACCTATATTCGTGCGAGAAAATTATTATTAGTATTATTTATACGTTGCGCGTGTTAGTTAATTACTAATTAGTTGTTGCTGAAGTCAACTTTTTTGCTTTGCAGCATTTAAGAGCGTATCACTATTAATTTATCTACTATGCTAATTATGAGACCTATATGTTTGGCATATTATCATTCGCAATAATAAAGATTTCTAAAATGTATTTGATCACACGAATTTATTTTAAGTACAGTAGGTACATCAAGGTTTTCCCCAAACATGTTACTCTAAGGTCATAATATGAAAATTAAAATTCTTCACTGAAAAAAACATACAATATAGGTAAGCCACATTTACAATTTTCGATTTTATATAGAAATGCAACCAGCATAATAAATAAGTGCTAGTCTTAACGGTTATTGTGGCACTCTGTTGTTTGGAGTAGTGTAAATGAGACATTTAAATGAAGTATTGTACCTATAGTGTATTTTTCCCGACTTACACTGATTCATTGTAGTTATAACAGTTATGTTTAATATTGAATGGAGAACTATAATAATATTATATAGGTACCTACATTAAATTTCATAAAAAACAACTCCAAGATAAAAAGAATAGTTCATTTTTGGATTATTCGCTGAAGTTACGAACTAGTTATATAACTTATCCGCATGACCTTGCTATACATTTTAGGCATTTTTTAGGCATTTAGGCAGTAGTCGAAATGGCTCAAAATAAGTGGAGGGACGAAAAATGTAAATTATAAAACACGGAGGGATGCAATTTGACCACTTATTTCATGTATTATATATACTTAGTAGGTATAGGTACCACTCATATACCAACATTTTCTTTAAATGTCTAATATCTTTGTGAGAACTACAAATCAAATATTGTCATTATTTTATCCCGGAAATGTTTTAGTATGCCTAACTATAGGTAATTGAAAATGCTTTTACCATTTTGGATCTTAATTTTGCGGTTCGTCATAGAGATAGTACCTACGTTGGGTAGGTTAAATTGACCATTCAATAGACACTCACACTATATTGATTTAACCTTAATAGCTATTAGCTTTTAACTCTATAGGTACCTTCTATACGTTTATTATAATAACATGATTCTTCCATTTTTGAATCCAAACTCTGGACACAATATGTATAGGTACCTATTATTGATACCATTTATTTATTTACTTTAATCCACTCGTGTGCGTGTTGTAGTCACTTATTACT